TTAACCTAAATGTCTGTATAGCTAATATGTAAATTATTCACATCCTTTCAATTTTTTCATGTCATTCGTTTCTACGTATTAGGTTAATTATAAGAAAAAGTCTAAATGCAAAAACTTTAATAATATAATTATTTAAATATTTTTTTTTTATATTCAGAATATGTATAGTTTATAAAGTTTCTAAAAGCTGATATCTCGTTTGCCCGTCTGTCTGTAAAAAACTTCTTACGGAGAATGTGAAACTTTCACCTTAGAATTCTTCTTAAGGCTGCAATAAATCCTTTTAAGGTAAATAACAATAATGTTCCCATTCATACTTAATTTTTCCTAGTTTAATTATATCTTTATTTTATTTTGAGTCTTGAATTTTAACACAACCATGTTATTCAATTGTATAACCCAAAACAGTCGGTAACAATCAATCAACACACTTTTTTCAAAATAATACTCATAGACACGTCAACTTGTATGGTTTCAATTGTAAAATAATACTTTTGTTCTGATTGAGTGATGGAACTAAAATTTATATAAACTAAAGTAAATTATATAATAAAAAGTATAAGTATCTTAAATTAGTCTTTGTATGTATCTTATTATGTAATAAAATACTTGTTAGTAAATACAAAAGTAAGACTATATAATATCTCGGATTTCACAGAGCAGAGGGACTTAAATCGGAAATGCAGAAAGGTATAAGATTTTATCCTACATTGCCGTGGTATAGAATATTTTTTGAGAAATTTTCATTAACGTTACCTACCATCCTGCAATGAAAGAAAACGTAATTGAAACTTTGTTATAAAAAATGCTAAGTTGTTCTCTGTATTTTGTGGTTGCCGACCAAATTTTAACTTATATAAAGTGTTGGTTATTCTATACATTATAAAATTATTAGGTCAGCCAAAGATTTAACCGGAAATCTAATTGATTAAAAGTCGTCTAGCAGAGCAGCTCTTTAAGAGCGTTAGCCTTTTGCAGCGCTCTGCGAATCCAGAAATTTCTTAAAAAGAGTCCATCCAGAACGTTTAGGTCCGCAAGCTTTACATGGGTATTAATTGCATAATGATTTTTCTCAAAACTTTAAGGTCATATATAATGTTTATAATAGACATCCAAGCTTACTTTAATCTGCACAAAGCTGAAAATTTGTCATGAATGTTGTAAACATTTTCTTTAAAATCGCCATCAATTCCAAGCGTACAATGTTCTTTACTTAAAGTCAAATGTTGCAAAAATCGGTTCTTTGCTCTTCCAGCTAAACGGTAAATTTTATTATACAATAAGGTGAGTAAAAAATTGTTCATCTACAATTATTTATATTGCTATTTATACATATGTAAAATATCCTGATATATATTTAATGGTGTCTATATAAGTTTTAATATAGACACCATTAAAGCTTAATTATTTACAATATTTTAGCGTTTTAAGAGAAGGAACAATGGAGTCTAATCATTCATTCCGATTGTAATTTCATGTATTCACATGGCCTCTATTGCATTTCGCCATTTATGTTCAACATTTGGTCAACCACTTGGTGATGAAACAAGATATACATATATGGAAACATGATATAAACATATGATACATATATATAGAAGTTTGATTACTACTAAAAAAATCTTTATTCTGTTGTTTGTCCAAAACAGTGCAGTATCACTTTTAATATAAATTAACAAGATAATTAAAGGAAGTATTTAAAAACATTTCTTTCTATTTTTTATTTATACCATTGTATAATTAATTATCTCCAACCTTGTACTTTATAAACATTAATATTATTGGGTAAATATATACACGATAACGAATAAGGTTGTCTCAATAAAGAAATATACACAGTTCCTAAGCTTTCACTTTAAAATAGTAGACATAATTTTTCCACTCTCTGTTCATTAAATAAGTGTTTTCAACTTCACTCATTTTTCATTTCTTGACTCCAACGTTGGTCTTATGAACAATAAATGGAAATAAATATGCATAGACCGCAATAATATAACACTTCTATTAACGTTAGCTTGAGAAAATAGATGTTTCGATTTGTGAAAATACTCAACTTCCTCGTCCGCTCAATACCATACTCAATACCATAAAATTCTGAAAATTTTGGAAAATGTCTAGTTCTGAATCCTTTGTGAGCTACATACTTAATATTTTTGTTTCTTTAATATCCTTTTCTTCGAAGTTCGTTCTGTCTATTTTTAAGCGAGAGAATACTTAGCAAAGGATAGTAATAAATATCTGAGTGACAGTTTTTTTCAGCGATTACAAATTAATTTACATGTATTATTTATTTGTATTTTTAATAGTATATTTTTAAACTTCTTGTAATACTTGCAACTTGTAAATGAATAAATTAAGAGGTTGGGATAAAAAATACTTATCATAGATATTTGTACACGAGGAGTTTGCTAGGAGTGTTTATAACATACCATCAGTATTCCGTTGAAAACGATTACCATACTCTTTAAAAAAATTAGAACGTCAAAAAACAAAAAATAAAATTTTTAATCGAATTTCGTAACTTTAACAAAAATGGTCCTATTGGAGTAGAAAGAAAAGGACTATGAAGATTAAAGTCTATGAATCTTGGATTATGCAAAAAAAGTTTCAATGAATACCATCGAACAAAAATACATAGATAGCCATATCTTTATTTTTATCGATTTTTTACCATTAATCGTAATCAAATGTTTTAATCAACCAATACAATGTCTAGGTAAATATAATATTAAAGTATGTAGCATTAACAATCGAGCATGAGACGATCAATTTTCCTACGTAAGTTGATAATGGGACCCGTATAAGAAATAAAATATAGAAATAATGACCCTTGAAATATGAATATAATAATGAATTCCGACCTAATGTTCCCTATTGCAAGGAATAATTTACATAAAAATTAAAACTATATTCCCCACATTATATGCTAACAAATTTGTTGACACCATTATTTGAATCTATGCCATTATCATAAAAAAATGAAACCTAATTGAGATTCTATAAATTGATAATATCAGTGGACTTAAAAGTACATAGTTGCCTGACACTAACAATCATTATAGATACTGTTGTAATATTTGTCCAACTGTCTTTTAAAATAATTTTAGTTAGAGCCTTTTGAAGTGCACGGAAGTCTATTAGCATTTCCTATGGCAAAGACGTATGTAAATTGATAATGCCTCACTTTTAAATAAGCAAAATATTTATATATGTAAAATCTTTAATGTTCTTGCACATGATCCATATTTTTTCGTAAAACTAACTGATTGTGTAAAAAGTTAAGAAGCTCAACAGGTATAATTTTAATGCTTGTTTTTCTTTTGGAGGCTTAAATAATTATTGATATAAAGCCATTAAATACTTTCGGAACAGGTAACTAGAAATGACAGAAAGGATTTTTTGGCAAACAAGATTCTATTACAGCCATATCCATTCTCGTAAATGTTGTCCTGAAACTAATTAACTATTTTGCACATCTCATTAATTGAAGAAATCTTGTTTCATATGTGACGGATAATTTGTTAAAATTTTAACTTTTACAAATAAAGAAATACTGTGTAGCAAGAGGCTTTGGTAAATATATCTTATCCAGTATATTTTACATATCTTATTTTATCTTGTCATTACGAGGATGTGGACTTGTAAACTTCACTTATTTAGAGTGGGCATACATATTATTATTCTATATATTAATAAACATATTTCATTATAGAAAATGCCGACGGGACAAACTTGGATAATGAGCGATTCACTACTGTTATTGCTGAATGTTTCAAGAGTGTGTGGCTTAGCACCAGTCCGATTTTCTACAAACAAAACATTCGTTTATTTTCCACGCTGGTTGCAGTGTTTAAGCATCTTCATAGTAGCGATTGTTCGTAAGTTATTAATATTAATAATAAGAACAAATTAAAAGGCCTTCGAGCAAGATACTTCTTACACTCTCAATGTGGACCTTAGTAGTAGCTTACAAGTATCTTTCATTTTAATTCTTATACCCCCTGGAACTCCTATAAGGAGGTTTATTGGGATTTCATGAAGAAGGTTCCTGCTTCTGTTGATTCCAGGGAATTCAGAGTGCACATGGTAGTCTTTAGGGGCTTGGCCGGTTGATTGAGGCGTGTGGACGTGTAGTGTGTGTCTTTAACGGTTTTTTCTTAAGTTATAATAATTAATGAGTTTACAAATTGTTTTAAACCAGTTGTGAATGATAGTGCTGTGTGTGACAAGTTTAAACACAAAATTGATAAGAGATGTAAATACAAAAACATAATATAGTGTACAGTGGAAAGTTAACTTGTCGTACCTTCTTACAATTAAACTAAATATAAAACTAAATTTAAATGATTAATAACCAAAAAAAGATCCTATAAAATAATAATAAACGAGAAAATTTAAGAACTATTTACTTTCATGCATAGCTATATAAAACTAAATTAAATTTAAACAAGTGCAATCATAGATGGCGCCAAGTGTACCAAATGCGCTATGCTATTTCATCGAATGTGCGTTAATATAAAGCCTGGAGACCCTATTACCAAAAAAATTACTATGCAACAATTACAAAGTAGGAACGAAGCGCACCATTCCTGCGAGTGCCAGTAGCCATCCCTCTCCCAGCTGAGATATAAAAAATGCAGAGGAAGATTTCATAGACGCTAACGAAAATAATTCTGAAAAGTCCCTCGCCCACGAGATAAGGCTGTTGCGATTGGAATTTTCTTCGGTAACCAGGGAGCTGTCGCGGCTTAGTACGACTACGTCAGAGTTTAATAAAAGAATAGATAGCGTCGAGCAACGCTTAGATAATTTAGAAAAAAATAATCACGAGCGAAACTCAGGAATAGTCGACAAAAATGCTACCGAAGTAATAGCCCAACTACGATCCGAATTGAGTGACCGTGACCAAGAGAACCTGCTGAACGATATCGAAATTTCGGGTTTAGAGGAGAAAAGTGGCGAAAATTCAACCAATATAGTGCTTCTAGTTGCTAAAAAAATTGGGGCGTCACTGGAGGAACGCGACATTGTCAGCCGATTGTATTACAGCCGATCACAGCGGGCAAACTCGGCCACGGCCGATTATCGTGCGTCTCGCCCATCGCGCCGTCCGCGACGAAATGCTACGAGCCGCTCGCGTGCGCCGCGGTTGTGACTCATCGGGAATTGTCGAGTCTGAAGCTAAGAGGTTTTATGTTAACGAACGCCTCACTCCGATGAATCGCCATATATTTTATAAAACACGTGAATTAGGTCGAAGCGATGGATGGCGATATATCTGGACACGAGGAGGTCGCATTTATGCTCGTCGCAATGGAGACTCCGAAACTCGTCGGATACGCACATTGGAGGACACTATTAAGTTTTTTGGAGACAATGTCATTTGATATTAAGTCCATATAAGACTAGTTTATTACTTATAATTAAGGGATATACTAAATATGTTAATTTAACAAAATTAATTCGCAAGCAGGTTAAATTCATTTTTCATATTCATCTAAAATTTATTATTAAGTTTTTGCTTTGTGTTAGCATGACACTTCTAAATAGCAATTACAATGACAAATTATTATCATATTTAATTATATTTCTTGCTTTTAAAGGTACGAGTAATATATATATACAACAATTGTGAGATGTCGAATGCAATCTTTAAATGTAAACTTAATTTTGCGTATACTTTAGAACTTATATAATTTACTGTTAGCCAGCATAATTGCATTTGTTTATTTAATACTTATATTATATTATTGTTATTATTATTATTATATATTATATACACAGTATGTTTATTTTAAATAGAATATATTTGTATTTTAATGTATAAACCTAAATGTATAAATATATATGCCTGGGTGTGTGTTTGTATGTGATTAATGATTATTATATATGAGAGTGGTTGTCTATGTATATATAGATATATATGACATAACTATGATAATTCTATATAATTTTATATATGTATAATGTATATATATGTGTATTTAAAATATATAGTCACATCTACTCACCTTACAGTGCATGTTCCATTAGCAAAATGGAGTATTGACCAGACGTGGTTAGACTAATTAGTGAAGAGATTTTAACTTCTAATTAATTGTTATGATATTTGTTAAACGGTAGGTAATACAGTAGGGAGTAATACTATGGTTTGGATCAACTCGGTGCACGTCCCGACATGCTTGCGACTTTCTGTAATTATATGTTCATTGTAATTAAAATACCAACGATAAATACAAATTCTCAAAAGTAATATTATTTCATTTGAGATTATATTAAAATACGATATAAATTAGAATAGTATTTTAATTAGTATATATTGAAGAATGATGTATTTTTTTTTTCTTACACGATATAATATTTTAGGCTATTGTCAATGTCGTTCGCTTGACGTACAAAAATAAGGTGATCACTGAAAATCAGCGCTGTCGTTCCTGGCAATTCCACATTATATTATTATCTTAAGTAAATAAAAAGAAATATTTATTTATTCAAACTTGTAATTTTTTTTTTCATTATTATTATTTTTTTCATATGCTGAGTGATTCTCCTTTTTGTGACATCATACTGCTGTGTAGGCAGCATTTTGTTTTGATTTATTTATACCTTCTGTTATATAATTTTCATTAGATATTATTTAATTGTATTGTTACATATTTTATGTTTTTGTTTTTTTTTTTTATTTCTGTTTATGCTATTGCTGTCTCGCAAAGATGTTCACAAATAAAACATTTTCTTTCTTTCTTCTTTCTTTCTTTCTTTAGATATGTTAGTTGGAAATAGCTTATCATTCCATAATACACTTCAATATTATCGAATTTGATATGATGTTGAGACAGAAGTTTTGAAAAAAGTCCTGGTTGGGAGTATTCACGACATCAAACTGTTGTCCTTAAAAATTGTGGTCACTAAATATGTGACATATTTCAAAAGATTGGTTAACAAGTTACTCCCATATAAACTAAGTGGTTTACTTATTTTACAAAAAAATTGTAGTAAGAAAACAAAAGTTATCATAATTAATTCAGATTTGCTGTGCAAGGAAGCTATCTCAACGTTTACAACTTAGCTTTTCAGTTGCCCTTACTGGAATAAATGCTGCAATTCAAAAGTTTATGTACAATAAGCACAAATTTTAAATATTTCAAATAATGTACACAAAACATTAAATCTAAACTACTCGGACTAAGTACAGTTGTTAGTTGATTATATAAGAGTTTTGTACACTGGTTTTTTTAGTTCAGTTCTCTTTAATGAGCACGGGCCATATACATCCTAATAATCTAAATAGGAGAGTACTTAAGCATCCGTTAACTTATAAAGCATCTTACATGACCTAAAACGAATTTTCACTTTATCATGTAAGTGACTTGGTAGGTGAGAAAATCGTGAATTAGATGACCAAGTTTTTTTTAATATTAATCTGCTCATAAAGGCTTCCATCAACGGCAATAAGTCTCCTTAGTGTACTTAATAAGTTGTCTTTTACTCCTAAATACATAATAGTGAATTACATTTTTGCTAGTTGAGTTATAAATCATGACAATTTGAGCAGTTATAGTTGCACTGTTAAAGTTCTTTTCATTCTAACGTGGTGGACCCCGTACAGTACCTGCACGATGAAACCATGGAATGCTCAGAAGTTTCCCCTCTGTAGGATAGTAGTCTTAAATGATTGTAATTACTTCGCATCAAGTGGCGGTTTTCCCTTTTTTGTACGTGACTATTTTGATTATAAATGAATATTACAAACAAAGTAATTAATATTCTTACCAACTAAACCACATGGCTAAGAATTATTATTGTAATTGTGATACATAATTATTTATACGAGTATATATCGAAACAAAAGTTGTTTTGGTAGTTACAAAGGCATGATTATAGGTTCTTTGAAGCATGATAATAGTTTAGTATTTTTTTTTGGTTTTGTCTCATATTTAAATGGCTAGTTTTATATTTCTCGTTTTCTGTATTTTCAGATTTGGTTTTTTTAAATTATATGTATGACGTCACTATAACACATTTCATGAACAACGGTCGAAAAATATTCTTTGGAAATGTTATTATCATTATGTATTTCTTTTATACTTGCCGTGCAGTTTTCAAAAACGAAACAAGAATTAAAAACTATTTGAATTATGACAAGAAACTCAAAAAAGTATGTATAAATTTTATTAATATAATTTTATTAATATTATATATATCTAAAGTAAATATTCATATATTGAATTCTTGATAGATCACCCGAAGTTTACGCACTGATAAAGTATCGAACATAACAAAGACACACGTTGTGTTGTTAATGTTTATATTCATTGGAGGAACGGTTTCATTGATTCTTTTGGATTTAGCTTTCCATTTGAACAGTAAGATTATTTTCTTCGTATTGTTTCATCTACTGTCTCTTCAGGTTAAGAGTTTATTTAATGTTTTATAAATAATCTCAAAAATTATCACCTAAATATATTTTTTTCTACAGAATCGAAGGTTTGGCAGGTACCCTTTATATTAGAATGGATTGTAATAGGTATTCTTGACATACAGTTTATATATTTCGCTTATTCCATCAGTCTAACATTCAAAGTTATCAAAGAAGAACTTCAAATACTTCTCCGTGAATTGACTGATCTACCGTAATTATACTCTTTTTTCAACATTTTTTCAGATTTATACTCTTTTTTCTACATTTTCACTATTTGGTTTTACTTTCTTAATTCTTTTAAAGATAAAACAAAAATTTGTTCACCAAGACAAGACATGATAAACTTATACACGAAGGTTTTATAGAGTGTTAAGTTAACAAAAGTAAATGATGTCACATACAATCTAAGTATATTCTCATATATCAGGAAACCTTTTTCTTCTTTTTAAAGGATTCTCATAATTTGAATTTTAAAACGCTTATATATGAAACATACACACACACACACATATATACATACATACATATATATAAAATTTCACCTCTATTTAATTATATTTTTATTGACTATCGACGAGAAAAAAATGTGTTTGAAGTATTAATTACTGTTAACAATTATAGAGATATTATCATGCCTCCGGAATCATATAATAGTCACAATCATATAATTGGTAAGTTAAAAAACTTTTTTTAAACAAATTAAGACGAGAAAATAAAACCAGTAAAATTGACAGAATAATATGTGGACGTATAAATTTAAATGAAATGTTTATTTTCTAAATTTTCGTAGACACCATCGGTTTGAGGAGACAAAACATAGCAGAGAGGATCCATCAAATTCAATACTCCTTTATATCAACTTGTGATGTTTTAAGAGATTTGAATAACTCTGATAATGTTTTGTTATTTTTACAACTAGTGACATTCACATTCAATATTGCTTCTACATTACTCAACTTATATGCATTACGAAACGGTAATCCTTTTTGTTAATTTTTGAAAGTCATAACAATAATTCCCAATAATAGTAACTCTATCACAATAATTTTTCGAATCCAAAAAAAAATCATTTAGGAAATTGAAAAAATTTTCGTCAGTTGGGAACCTCTTGCTATTTTTGTAAGTCGGTTAAAGGCAGAAACATTGCAAAATGAGAATGACTTGTTACAATCCCTGCTGTTGTTGGATTTTCGTATCATTAAGAATTTTATGAATTAATTTATTTAATATATATTAATAATTTTTAGTTGATAAATCAGAATTGTACGTGCAATTCGCATTTCAATGCTTATGGCTTGTGCACCACACGTCTAAAATGATGTTGATAATTGAGCCTTGCCATGTAACGGAAAAAAAGGTATACTATTTCTTTATTCTGTAAATTCTTTATAAGAAAGACATTAAAATTATGGCAAAACAGGAAGAAAAATGGCTTAAAGACTAATTATTATTCTTTATTCAATTTGAAATCTGGTAAGGTATGTGGAGTGTTTAATAAGTAAATATATTGCACTTTTTTAATACACTCACAGGTTCGGAAGTCGCAAATCAAGCTTTCTCTTCTCTCTTCACGATTATAATAGGGTATTGATAAAACTATTTGTGTCTGATGCAGTTAATGATACATATCATAAATATATAATATTCACAAGAGCATTCTTCAATATTACAATTTCTTTATTTTTCTTTACAGACAACGTATTCATTAAATAATTTTTTGACCATCATATTTAACACCAATTAATCTAATTGTATATATAGTTTTTCTCAACGAACTGTTATTATTGATTCACCCGAAAAATGGTTTTGTTTAATTTAACTTAATAATATCAAACATTTTTTTGCTTTTTGTTTTAAAATGTACAATCCATTCATTTGAAACATCACCATTCTTTAATAACACTTCAAATTACATATATTTTTATTCTTATATATAGTTTTGAATACATTTAAAATAAAATAATT